AGTTTTCATCATGTTCTATTAGTACTATTTCTTTTTATAATAAATATATCACTTTCTCTATGAATCATCATTTAGAGGAAATATCCACCTTTCATTTCATTTTGTAAATTTTGTACCTTTCTCAAATGTACTATGGTTGTATGATACCTTTAATGGGTATATTTGATACAATAAACTTATCATCTTATCTTATCTTATCTTATCTTATCTTATCTTATCTTATCTTATCTTATCTTATCTTAGCTTAGCTTATCTTATCTTATCTTATCTTAGCTTAGCTTAGCTATCTATCAAAGTAATCTTTGAAATGTATATATTCAGCAATATTTCAAAGGAAAGCTACCTCTTAGAATGAAGCTACATATAATATATTTATGAAATTAAAGAGACATATTTACCTTCCATTTGACTAATTCCACCTTAGTCTCAGAAACGGAAAAGATTAAGAGTTTTCTTGAGACACTGCCATATATAGCAATGGCATCAATAGACTATATATTTTTGAAGGGATCGTGTTTTTTTGGCAGTTCTAGTACTTCTGAAGACCATTTAAATAAATTCAAGGTCCGAAAATGGCCAGCCATAGCCTTTTAGTAATTATCTCAAACAAAGTTTAAATTTGAGACATTTTTGACAAATTACTTAGCTTTATGGATTACTAGGGATTCTGTTGAATAACTTTGACACAAGGTAAGTCTACTCTCATTGGCCAAGTCTGAGAATTCTAATTTTACAAAAGAGAAATTGATTCTGATTTAAGTTGAATAGTGAGAGTTATGAGGTTATGTATCATGTATTATTATTGTGTCTGTTTTGTCAGGTATCTTTTGGTTTCAAACAATTGTAGTTCTTCACTTAATAACAGAATAACAACCAATATGCTATTAACTACTTTAATGACACCTGACAGATCAAAACAATAGTACCATTGTCCTACCATTGTCCCTGTCTTGAAAATTGTTTTTCTCAAATTACACACCATGTCACAACATTGTCACTGTCAGTCATATATCCAATTCTATCTTAGACTAAATCTAACGGCTGTTTGTAAAATTTGGTAATGATTAACTATTTTTTATTTATTCATTAGAGAGATTTTTTCTAAAATTGTTTTTTGTGTATCAGGGACCATTTTCAGACATATCTGAGTCTTGCAATTCAGATAAAATAAAGCACTGTATGACATAGTGCTAATTATTAGTGTGTGCTTAAATAACACAGTGTCTAAATGACATGTCCCTAGTGTCCCTACAAGAAGTATACCTATAATATCATGTCTTACTGACTTGTGCTTCAAATATTTGTGTCTAAATGACAGTGAACCAGGATTGTATGTACCGGTATGCTAAAATTGTAAAATGGTAAATCTGAATCCTGAAACCTGAAATGGTTTATAATCAGGGCATGGGTTTCTTGTCTCTCTTTCTAACCAACTTTGATGGAGTAGATTTATTACAATAATTACACAAACTGAAACAAATGTGTGTCATCCACTTACTGTGGCTTATAATGATAAATTCTATTTATAGTGTTTAATATAATGACTAGACCTCTAAAATATCTCACTGCTACACTTAAATATATCAATGGCATAAAAACAACAGATCACATTCAAATTTTAGTTAGTGTTAAAGAGGCATCTGATCAATTTAGGAATTTCACTTTCTATTTCTATAGATGTCGTTTCTATATATGGTAGTTTCAAGAAATGAGGATAATTCTGGACACACATGGTTTTGAAGGCTCAAATTTCGATGGTGAGCTGTGAACACTATAACTGATTAGCTAGGCTAAAGAATTCCAGTTTCTGAAACTAAGGTATGATTGGTTGAAAATATTGTGAACCTATCCCCAATTATAAAATTATGCCTTCTACTTATTCTGCAGGTTTCAACAAAAAATATGAAGCTGTTACAAAGTTCAAGACCTCAACAAGTTTAAACTTCTAAATCAACTTTAAATCAACCATTTTCAAAATGACTATTTTGCATACTGCTCCTTTAACAACAAGTTAAACTTCTTTAATACACTATAAGCTTTACATAAAAAATAGCTTCCGGACTAAAATTTTGTATTTTACATACACATATATAAAGTATTAAACTTACCCAAACCACACTGAGGCAAATAAGAAAGGTAGAGAAATACCCTATGAAGATTTCACTGTGTTACAAATTGAATGTAGAGTCATGCCTTATCTTATCCAACTAGGCAATAAATCTTACACGCTTAGCTTCAAACTAATCACACACACACTGACAGACATTAAACACTTTAACAAACTAAATTGGTTACATTTAACATCCTATAAAGTGGAAAGTCCTGTTTGCTCTAATCAACCAATCACAGACTGTGTAACATAATATAGTAGCCAATCAATTATGGAGGCATCATGTTGCCTAGCAACTGACTGTCGTAAGAAAGCCAACAGCTGTTAAAAGAAACATGGACACTAAAAAAAAATCAGCAACAATCATCTTAATCGACAGATTTATATAAAACATAAAAATAAAACATGAATTTCAACCATAACTTTGAAACAAATTATAGAGTAACATGACATTAACTGTTTGAATACTGAGATGAATCAAATAAAACATCATATACCCTGAACTACTAGTAATATGATGTCATGTGACGTCACTTGGAAACTGTCACTTCACCCAATGCTCCAGTTTATATCACATAATGATGAAGTCAGTAGATTTAATCGATACTTTGAACAATGAGTGTAGATAATTTAAACTTCATATACTTCATATACCCTGAACTTCAAATAATATAACATTATTATAACATTGCACGACATCACTTCCAATCAACTAAATAAGTCCTTTCCTGCATCTGTTTGGGCTAATGAGAAGGAACAACATCATGCAGTGTGCAACCAGTGAAATTTTTTTAGGACAGCAGCATTAAAGTGTTTTGTTTTTGATGCCCTGAACCAACTTAGACAAATCAAAAGATCAACTAATTCAATGTAACATGAAGAGGAAATGAAAGGATGGGGTAAAATTTTGGGTGAAATGCTTCTTAGAATATTGTACAGGGAAGGTGGTCAGAATTATGACAGAATGTTTCTAACAAGAACAACATATCAACATGATAGATTATAACGAGAATTTTCTGGAAATTCTAATCAGGGCTGATCAATAAAATTATCGTACCAACCAGATAAGAGCTGGGGGTCTGGTCCATCTTTAATTTCCTTAGCTACGATTTATGGCACACAATCTGCGTACAATCCATTATGGCATGCCATGTAAATTCAATTATATCACAACCAATCAAGCCTATGATATGAAATCTACACAATCTCTAGTTTACACTGTTTATCAATCAATCAAATAATATCTTAATTTCATTATTCTTATCATTCATAGTTCATCGTTTTTATCCATTCTTTATTTTAGTCAAATTTGAAAATGATGATTGTTTTTGATCTTCCTTTCTTTAATCACATATGTTTTAAACTTTTATGGGTATTGAGGCCATTTATGGCTTCCATTTGCATCAATCCAATTTTCAATCAGATGCCTGTGATTTCTATGATTAAAGAAATGTTGAACTGTATGTGACGTCACTTTTGTAAAAAAATATAAAAAGGGCCTTTGCCATAGCTATGTCATAGAATTACAAGAAGGAAAACAGGAATGAAGCAAATCGATGCTATCAGTATCCCAGATACAAAATTTTACTATCCCTTTAATAAAAGCATTTGGTGATGGAAATGTAACAAGCAGTTGAGTTGGAGTTGATAATTTCTCATCAAATATATTTCCACTTCACAAAATCAATTTGAGCACGTCCTGATTCATTCTAGGCAAATATCGAATAACTGAGTTGGGAATTAATCCCTCTTCGGGACCTCGGCGTCTGAAGTTTCGAAAGAAAATCAACTCGAATTTCGTCAATCCACTAAAAGCTTGAGACTTACGGCTAAAATGATTGAAGAAATTCGGAAACCTCAAACAAATTGAAACGGGCAGACGTGAAACATTGAGGATCTTAGAGCTAAAATCTCTTGTTGGAAAAGAATGGTAGAGCTCTCTAATCAATAGAAAGCTAGTTTGGTGGTATTGAAAATATAGAAGAGTCACGTTGTGTTGTATCTGGTTACCGTGATCAATAATAGCAATCGCTCAGTCATCATTACATTAATAACATTTTTCTAACCAGGTTGAAAACGTTTTCAAGAATAAGGTTAAAACTATTTTTCTACAGCAGTCAGTTCAGGTTCAGAAAGGAGTTTTTTCCCTCATTTCACAAATATTCAATATATAGTTTTCAATTGTTTAATCTGCCTACCCTAAAACAACTACCATTTCAACATTTTTTATTTTTGCACAACTTTCTTTTTTTTTTTGTAATTCTACTAACTGAAGATAGCTTGTCTAGCAAGGTAATATACGCCCACTGGCAGCTTTGATAACAAGTTGAGGTCAATAACTCATATATAATAGTTCTCCATTTTTAATTTCCTAGAAAATTCATCCATGGGCGATAATAAGCAATTTCAATCTCGAATTGTGGCTTCTAGAGTGGTTACAAGCTTAAAATTGAATGCGTTCTCAAGAACAAGGGCAATAACTCATACTAAATATTTTAGATTTTTCTAATTTTCAACAGTGTTCATCCTTGGGTGATAACAAACACTCATACCAAGTTTCATTAAAATTTATTAAAGTAATTGTTATCGATATAATTGTGTTCGTGTTAATATCATCAATTACTAAATGCCACTCAAGGAAGTCATTGTACTCTGTACTTGTACAAAATTAAACGCATTTTCAAAAGAAGAGCAATAACTAAATATTTTTTATTTTTATTTTATTGGATTTCTACCATGAGAAGAATGTTGGAATGTTACTTAGCAACATTGAATTTCAACTGACATTTCATTGTGTCTGTCCCTGAGGAAGGGAGCCTTTGTGCTCTTGAAACATGTTGGACTTTAGGACTACTTAGTTTTTTCTATAGCAGATTATTTTTTTGAATGTTTACCCATGTGTTGTGCTATAGAGTATCCACATTATTCGGATCAACTAAAAATGGACCAGTAAAAAACTTAGTGAAATGGTTTGTGTGTCTTCTATTTTATTGAACACCCCATTTCATGTGGGCGTATAAAAATGTTGCAATAATGTGTTTTGCTATAATTTTCAAAGTTGCAACCCTGTAATACTGTAAATTTGTTATAAGTAACTGCTTGGTCACCACTCGTTTTAAGGTTTAATAATCTTATTATATTAATATGGGGGTTGGAGCAGTAGTTACTAACACCATCATAGATAGTAACATTACCAAGCAGGATGGTGTAAATATGAAAGACTTGTTAATAGTTAATAAGAAGTGACAGGTTGACAAGTGTTTATCTGTATTGGAATGAATTAATGAGATATGATATTACTAGTTATTGAATAGCAACTGTCAGTCTGCTGGGTCTAGATGGACATACAATATGTTATATGAATGAAATGGGACAATGCAGGTTGTTTGATCTAATGTTTCTCTTTCTTCCTGAGGTCACTAGAGTCACATTTTGATATTTAGCTTTGATGTTTCCTCTCTACCTTAACAGGATTGTAAAGAAGTTTTCTAAACTGTGTATCGGGGACAGTGGTAGCATCTTTTAGAACCATTCTAATTTTCAGATGTCTGACGTTCTTGCTACTCCACTAAAACACTTCATGTTGTAGCTATCGCAAATTGAACAAATAGTTTTTAGCAGTTTTTGCATTAGTAACATATGATGAAGCATATCTTTAATTACAGGAAACCCAAGACTTCAAGAAGCCATAAATGACCTCCATACCCAAAAATATAACTTAAACTTAAAACTTCTTTGCAATTGCTTGAAGCAACCACAAAATGTCAACTTTCTCAAAATGTATTTAGCAGTTAAAGGGTTTAGGTGTAATTTGATTTCACCTACCTTAACTACAGCTGTAGAACTGCCATCACTCTCTTTCTCAATGATATCAGGTGTTTCTGTCAGGACAATTTCTGTATCACCATACTGGATGGTGAATGTCAGATCCACGCCAACTGCTACTGATATTTCTAATCTGACTGTCTCACCACTAAACACTGTAAGCAATGGTCCAGGAGGCTTGGTGTCATGTTCTAGTGGAATACAGGACGGTACATGATCTTTTGGTGATATTAAAAAGATCTGAAGGTCTTGTGGCGCCGGTTCCAGAACTGTCAGGTTGGCTGTGGTGGTTGAAGAGGAAATGTGATTTCTGGCAATGATTTCTGAATTAAAAAGAAATATTTAGTTAATATTTTGTTATGTGTATGATTTGAACACTGTAGAGCTGTATATAAATTGTTCTACCAGGTACCCACTGTATTTAGATTTTGGAAAAGGGAGCATTTGATTCTCCAAAATACCCAGGATTGAACTAATACTTTTAGAAATCAATGAACTAGTAGAGTCACTGAACAAGTTAGTTGAAGATGTGAATTTCTTTAAGTAAAATCTTTTAAGCATTGCAGAGACCTGTGAAGATTATTGGAGGAGGAAGAAGCATGCTACTTCATTCTGCCGTAAGATGGATGAGCAATGGCCAAGTACTGAAGCAAATGTGAAAACTACTTTACAACTGAGTTTTTTAATGTTCATGCAAGGCTCACACAGCATAATGAACATTGCTTTTGTGAATATCTTCATTCACCTTAATCTGAATCTGAATCTACAAGGAAAACAGAAGTCTTTTGTTTGCATTTAGAAAAGCAGTGAAAGATTTTCAGGCAATGTTGCAGGTATACAAACATGACCTGGAAAACCACAACAAGCTGAACTTTTCCACTTTAAAGGAATTTGGAGCTGAATGTGCCACTGACACATAATGGAGATAAGGGATTATTTAATTTAAGGTCTGTGGGGCTATAGCAATTCCAAACATGGAAACTTTCACTTCAGTTTATTTACTTGAGAAATAAAGACCTTGCTGAAGTTGGCTAAAAAGTATTTTTCAAGGTTGGGACAGATTATAAAGAGTTTAGCTCAAAGATTTGGTTGAAAAACCAGCCAGAATAAATAGAAGTTGGGATCAAAGGTTTGGTTGGGTGTTGGGCCAAAATTAAGACCCTGCTGAGGTCAGTTAGCTTTTCTTGCTGGTTGGGTCAAAATGAAGACCATTTTGAAATTTCCTCATAGATAAAATTCCTATTGTGGGCAATTCTGACACCAAATCAAATATCATCAATGAAGCAAACAATGGTTTAAATTAAAGTTTTTATGAAGATCACTGATATCTTGATTGACAACACATGTTAGTTGGTTGTCTTGAAAGTCAGTGACCTGAAACTATTTCCTTGATATGTGGCAGTAATGAAGAACAGAGTAAAGGTGTTCAGTATGACATGATGCAGAATTATCTATACAATAGACAAGTGGTTGCCTAGCAAGATACGCCCACTTTGCTGATACATTTTCAGTATATCAAGGGCGTGTCAAATCATACCAAAAATCTAATTTAAGCAAGATATTGTTGATTGAAACAAACATTATTTAATAAAATTCTGACATAAACTGTCACCTCTACTGCTAACAAATTTTGATGTCATGGGCAATAACTCAAAAAATTGTCAAATTCAATATTGACTAGGATCTCATCATTATAAATGATCAAACCTAATTTCATGTAAATCGGATGAAAACAGTACTATTTATTGTGTTCACAAACAAATTTTGATGCGTTTTTCATAAATCAAGGGCAATAACTCAAAAACCATTCATCGAAAGATAGCCAAATTCAAACTTGTCCAAGATCTCATCATTATAAATATTCACACCAAATTTCATTTAAATTGGATGAAAACTATTGTGTTCACAACCAAATTTTGACACGTTTTTCATAAGTCAACGGCAATAACTCAAAATTTGTCCAAGATCTCATGACTATAAATGATCAAACCAAATTTCATTCAAATCAGACAAAAACTGTTGTCTCTGGCAGCTTTGATTTTGAATAAAAATATTTAGCATTACAGTAACAATCACCAGTATGAAATATTCAACCTTCAGTCATACACTTCTTTTGAACCCTTTAGGGTGTGATAAAAAACACTCATGCCAAGTTTCATCAAAATCTGTCAAGAATTGTGTCTTCTAGAGTGTTTACGAGTTAAAAATTGAACATGTTTTCAAGAACAAGGGCAATAACTCATACTAAATATTTTTCGATTTTTTATATGCCCACATGAAATGGGGGGCGTATATTGCCGTCACCCATATCCATCCGTCGGTCCGTCCACAATTGCTTGAAACACTCTACAAGACACAATTCTTGACGGATTTTGACGAAATTTGCTGTGAGTGTTCATAATCACCCAAGGATGAACCCTATTGAAAATCAGAAGAATCGAAAAATATTTAGTATGAGTTATTGCCTTTGTTCTTGAAAACGCGTTCAATTTTAAGCTTGTAAACATTCTAGAAGGGACAATTCTTGATGGATTTTGACGAAACTTGGCATGAGTGTTTGTTATCACCCAATGATAAACCCTATTGAAAATCAGAAAAAAATCGAAAAATAATTCGTATGAGTTATTGCCCTTGCTATTGAAAACGCATTCAATTTTTAGCTTGTAATCACTCTAGAAGGCACAATTCTTGATGGGTTTTTGATGAAACTTGGTGTGAGTGTTCGTAAGGATGAACCCTATTGAAAATCAAAAGAATTGAAAAATATTTAGTATGAGTTATTGACCTTGTTCTTGAAAACGCTTTCAAATTTAGCTCTCAAACACTAAAAGGCACGATTCTTGCCGGATTTTGACAAAACTTGGTTTTAAAATTCAGTCCTGCGCTGAAGATTGAATATTTGCCTTCTAGAGTTTTCACGAGCTAAAAATTGCACACGTTTTCAAGAACAAAGGCAATAACTCATACTCAATATTATTCAGTGTTGTGCTAAAGAGTTCAAAAGAAGTGTATGACTGAAGGTTGAATATTTCATACTGGTGATTGTTACTGTATTGCTAAATATTTTTATTCAAAATCAAAGCTGCCAGTGGGTGAATATTACTGAATAATAAACCAAGTTTTGTCAAAATCCGGCAAGAATCATGCTGTTTAGTGTTTAAGAGCTAAATTTGAAAGCGTTTTCAAGAACGAGGTCTAAAACTCCTATGAAACATTTTTCGATTGTTTTTATTTTCAATAGGGTTTATCCATGAGTGATAATTTACAATTTCACCAAGTTACACCAAACCCATCAAGAATTGTGCCTTCTAGAGTGTTTATGACATAAAAATTGAACGAGTTTTGAAGAACAAGGGCAATAACTCATAGTAAGTATTAGATTTTTCTGATTTTCAATAGGGCTCATCCTTGAGTGATTATGAACATTAACACTGATTTTCATTAAAATCTGCCAAGAAATGAGCCTTCTGGAGTGTTTACCAGCTAAAAATTGAACACGTTTTCAAGAACAAGGGCAATAAGTCATAGTAAATCTTTTTCGATATTTCTGATTTTTAATAGGGTTCATCCGTAGGTAACAACAAACACTCACACCAAGTTTTGTCAAAAGCTGTCAAGAATTGCGCCTTCTAGAGTGTTTACAAGCTAAAGATTGAACACGTTTTCAAGAACAAGGGCAATAACTCATACTAATTGTTTTTCGATTCTTCTGATTTTCAATAGGGTTCATCCTTGGGTGATTACTAACAGACATACCAAGTTTAGTCAAAATACGTCAAGATATCTGGAGTGTTTACAGGCTTAAAATTGAATGCGTTTTCAAGAACAAGGTCAATAACTCATACTTAATAACTTTCTGATTTTCGATAGGGTTTATCCTTGGTTGATCACAAACTCTCAAACCAAGTTTCATCAAAATCCACCAAGAATTATGGCTTCCAGATTGTTTTCAAGCTAATATTGAACGCGTTTTCAAGAACAAGGGCAATAACTCATACGAATTATTTTCGATCTTTTTGATTTTAAATAGGGTTCATCCTTGGGTGATAACAAACACTCACACCAAATTTCATCAAAATGCGTCAAGAATTGCGAGCGCTTCAAGAACAAGGGCAATAACTCATACTAAATATTTTTTGATTGTTCTCATTTTTAATAGGGTTCATCTTCAGGCGATTACAAACAACCATACCGGGTTTCGTCAAAATCAGTCAAGACTTGTGCCTTGTAGAGTGTTTACGAGCAATTGTGGATGGACCGACAGACACCCTTTCATGTGGGCGTATAAAAATGAATCATATCCACATGATGGGTGGACCTGTATAGTAATTGATGGTTTGTATTATTTTACACTGTATCAATGTGAAACTGTACATCGTACTGGATACCTGAATACTTTGATCGGGGACACTAAAAATTAAATTTGCACCATTCCAATTTTTACTCAGATCTGTCCATGGGTTATATTAGCAGCTTTTGAGATATTGATATCATAATTTCTATAATTACAGGAACTACAAATCAAAACTGATGGAAAATTGGAATAATGTAAATAGGTCACAAATGATCGTACACACAAAAATAGTTAGAAAACCTCTTTACAACCTTTAAACCAGTGGAAATAGAAACAAGAATTTTGTTCATTTCGAATTCATGCCATAGCAATGAACAATGGATAAATGTGAATTTTTTTCTCTCAGTTTGAATAATGTCAGGAAGCATATTGCACGGAATGACACTATGACAAAAAATTGCTGAAACTTATAAGTTCTTCAGAACTGTATATCAAAAGAAAACATAAAAATTGACATATTCTACACAAGAAATCATATATAGCCAAAGCAAATTAAATCAGCAGACACTCTCACTAACAATAGAGCAATTTAATGCCACGCAGCCATTTTCAAAATCGTGGATAGCAACCACATGTTTTAACACAGGATGCCAGACTATTCTTGGCGTACGTTAGCAATATTTCAAACGAAGTAAAATAGGGTGCTATTGTGAGAGGTCAAACAAGCACACAGGTTTGGTCACATCTGTTGTAAATCTGGTGTAAATGGAAATTTGTTAATGTCAGCCATCTTGAATCACTATAAAAGGAAAAGGGAAAACTTTTCGCTCACGAGCACCACGTGAAAAAATTAGGATAATGAATGAATGTGAGAAAAGAATAGGTGGAGTTTCCTTTTTTTAACATGTTATTTTCATGTAAAGAATGGAAACCACACAAGTCTTATAACTATAGTAACCAATTTAAACCAGATGCGAACGATAAATAATGAGTCACAACGCACTGCTTCTAAAACAATAGAAAACTATTTTACCACAGAATTTCTATATTCCTGGCATTTAGTAGACACATTTTTGCCAAAGTCAACAAAATTCTAGGTTTCACCCACACTAACATTAAAAAGATTGTAAAGAGGTTTTGTAAATTTTGTATTTGTATCCAGGCCACTAATCATATTAGTTTGCACCATTCTGATATGAAGTTAGACGTATGTGGTTCCTGGAGTTCCACTAAAACTAAACTAATTATTATAAGCAGATTTTGCAATTGTGACGTTATAAAATGCTTACAAACCCTTTCATTGCAATGTGTTTCCTTGGTGTGAAAATAATAACGTCAATATATTGGTGTGAAATAATGTCAATTTATTGGTCAGTTCCCACCCCCCCTCAGTC